TTGAATAACACATACCAAACTTAAAATAAAATTGTTGACTTTTTTTATAGATTATAATTCCATTTAACATGAAAAATATAAAAGTATCCTAAAATAATCCATTTTGCATTTAAAATAACCACTGTCACTAACCTCTGCTACTTCAGCTCTTCAAAGATGCTTTTCTTCCCAGATAATGACACATACTATAGATAAGTATTGAGAATAGCTGAAAAAAAATTGCTTGTATTTAAATATGTTGGAAGGGAAATTGAGGGTTCAATATTTTCTTCAGTGCTGGCTTTGTTTTCTCTCACCACTCTCTCCAGTAACAATGCACTTCTTAACCACAGAGGATGGAAGAGACATGATGATTAAAGGAAATTTACTCCCATACTCACACTCACACAATATATCTGATTTCAGAAAATCACAACAAATATCCAATTACCATGTTTCTAACAGCCATACTTCACCCAGGAAAAGACAAGAAGCCTAAGAGCGTATAGTGCCTTCACTGATCATTAAAGGAAGCTTTCCCCAAAGCATGTTGAACTGTCCCTTGGTTTGTCATGGAGGATTCTACACCCTGGATAAGAGATATACCTGTCTTTGGTAAAGTGAGAAAATAACTATTGTAAACGCAGAGGTAGAAGAGAAGAACCTACACAATTTTAGGAAAGAGTATTCATTGAGAATCTGTAAATTAATTTACTTAAAAGAGTAAATATCCACCTGCCTCTTGGACTATGTCACACAATAAGAACTTGAAGTTGATGTGAACTTTAATTCTTGCTCTATCTAATGGCAAGGAATATGTGCCATACAATATGATGGATACTGAAACTGCTTACAGAGGAGGCTATTTCACCACAACCTAGAGTAAGAAGTATATTTTCAATTATGATCCCATACACACATACACATTGTTTCATGAAACAATAATTACCCTTACTACATGTGATACACTCTGATATCCTCTATTCTGATGTCTTTAATGCTGGTCATAAGCCACTAAATTGATTTCATAACCAACTAATGAATCATAACCCACAATTTTAAAACACTGAGTTATAGAAAATAGAAATATGTAAGGCAATCCCTGATTATAAGAAGTGTCTTTAAAGAAGCCTTAGCTTGAAGGGATAAGGGACAACTGAGGTCTAGAAGTCAATGTCCATAGTAGGTTAAAATTTACTCTGTTTTATTAGTTTGCCCACCCTACTATTCACATTTTTCCATTGGCCAGTTTCTGAACCAATATCACAAGCTTGCTGTTTCCAACTCTGTGGTAAACTGAAAAATTTTCCCCAAATTTATCAGGTCCTAATCCCTGAATCTAAACTACTATATATAGAAAAAGGACCTTTGCATATATGAATAAATTAAGGCTCTTGAGGTGGGGAGATTATCCTGTATTAACCAAGAACACCCTAAATGCATTTACATGTATCCCTGTAAGAGGGAGGCATTAGGAGATCTGACCCACATAAGAGGAGACGGTGATGTGAAGAGGAAGGAGAAAGAAATTTGAAAATGCTAGCCTTGAAGACTGGAGTGACAGGACTCCAAGTCAATGAAGCTGGAAGAGTCAAAGAACTGATTTTGCCCTAGAGCCTCTGCAGAGAGCACTGATTTTGGTCCAGTGATACTGATTTTGGACTTCTGGCCTCCAGAACGGTGAGAGAATAAAGCTCTGATATTTTAAGCCACAGCAGGCTCAGGAAACTAATATGAACCCCATTAACATGACCTAAAGAGAGTCATAGTGCAACGTGCCCAGAGCACATGGCCACCTGTAACTTTATACTTTACTATGTTTTAAAAGAGAGTTATGGTAATTTTTTTTTAATTTAAAGAGTTATGGTAGCTTACAGAGATTCACAAACATACTGATAACAGAAATAATAACTAGGTGAAAAGAGAAAAAAACAAAGACAGCCCTGGCCAGTGTGGCTCAGTTGGTTGGAGCATCATCCCCTACACCAGAAGGTGGTGGGTTCAATCCCCAATCAGGGCATGTGTGGGAGGCAGCCAATTGATGTTTCTCTCTTTCTTTCCCTCCTTCCTTTCTCTAACATCAATTTTAAAAAATATATTTTTAAATATATTTTTTAATTATTTTCAGAGTGGAAGGGAGAGGGAGAGAGAGGTAGAAACATCAGTGATGAGAGAGAATCTTTGATTGGCTGCCTCCTGCACACCCCCTACTGAGTATTGAGCCCACAACCCCAACATGTGCCCTTGACCGGAATCGATCCCGGAACCCTTCAGTCCACAGGCTGATGATGCTCTATCCACTGAACCAAACCAGCTATGGCAATATATTTATTTTTAAAAACCACAAAGACAGATATATAAAAGAGAGCCAGCAACAAAGTTTATGCAAATCTATCTATATATATAAACAGGGAATATGCTAATTAGCCAAGCATCACGACAGCTCAGGAGGAGCTGCATCATAACCACTCAGGAGGAGCTGCTCGCACAGATGGCCTGGAGGGGACTGCGTGCTGCCCCTACCCCAGTGGCCACGGGGAAGCTGGGGCTGGGGGCGGGCCAGAGTGGAGACACAACACACAGGAGCACCTGCCCCCACCCCAGCGGACACAACGCAGTGGCTGGCGCTACACGGGTCAGGCACAGATCCCGGCCGGCGGGGTGCCTCCTTGCACAATTTCAATCGCGCCCTGGGCCTCTACTATACATATAAAAGCCTAAGCGACCATTACGACCGGACTACTGGCCAGTAGCTATGACTTGCACTGACCACCAGGAGGCACACTCAATGCAGGAGCTGCCCCCTGGTGCTCAGTGAGCTCCCACAGTGGGCTCACGGCTGGGGAGCATAGCTGAGGTGGCACCAGCCTCTCCCGCCTTCTCGGCAGCGCTACCAAGAGGCTTCGATGGCAAACGCAGCGGGACCGGGATGAGTGGGAATGGCATGGCACCGGGCCCTCGCTTGGGCTCCTCCTCAGCTGCCTGCCACTTGGTTCACTACTACATCCCTCAGGGAATGTCAGACTGCCGGTTTTGGCCCAATCTCCACAGGAGATTGGGAGAGGGCACGGGCCAGGCTGAGGGACCCCACCGATGCACAAATCCGTGCACTGGCCCCTAGTATACATATAATAGTTCTTGCCATTAGACCAAATTTGGCTTTGAACTTTCTAACAGCCAACATGCAAAGGTAGCCTCCTTGTTTACATGATTCAGTGGCCATTAGATAAAAAAAAAGCCAACTCCACAAGGTGAAATTTCTATCCAGAACAGTTTTTTGGACTGAGCTATGCAAAATAAGATGAGGGATACTCATTATACCATGTATAAATATAACTGCAGTAAACTTCTTACAATAGACCCAAGTTTCTATCGCTACTTACTAAATCATAGGAAAATAGCATGTCAAAACATTATTTGAGCCCTGGTTGGTGTGCTCAGTGGTCAGAGCGCGGGCCCACAAATGGCTTTGTTCCAGTCAAGAGCCTGTACTTGGGTTGCAGGTTCCCCATCCCAGTTGCAGCAAGTGCAGGAGGCAACCAATTGATGTGGCTCTCACTGAAATGTTTCTCTCTCTCCTCTCTCCCCCTCTCCTCCCTTCCGCTCTCTCTACAATTAGTGGGGGGAAAAATCCTCTAGTGAGGATTAACAACAACAACAACAAAATTTGATTAAAGCATATTCTATAGAACAGATTAATGTCAAAACATAAAATTCAATCAGAGGGAAGAAGGTGTCAATAGAATGAATATCTTCTAGGTATACGGCTCACTGCTGATTTGCCTTATTTCTAGGGTACATTTTATTTTTATTTTTTAAAATATATTTTTATTGATTTCAGAGAGGAAGGGAAAGGGAGAGAGAGATAGAAACATCAATGATGAGAGAATCATCCATCAGCTGCCTCTTGCAAGCCCCACACTGGAGATCCAGCTCCCAATGGCTCATGTGCCCTTGACCAGAATCTACCCGGACCCTTCAGTCCACAGATCGACACTCTATCCACTCAGCCAAACCGGCTAGGGCTCTAGGGTACATTTTAGAATATTTATGAAAGGCCTTGAATAATTCTCAGAAAATAAGTACATGTTCAATAAATGTTTCATACAATGTCTATGGGATGTGACTTGCTTGAAAGTAAATTTAATAGGAAAATAAATACCTATTGAGTTTCTACTATCTCCCAAGCGGATCTGGGTGACTACTGAGGAGTCAGATAAATATCCCATCTCTGTCCCTGAAAGAAGCATCCAGGCCAGTGGAGGAAGAGGGCCACAAAGGGCTCCAAACAGCGCCCCTAATCCAGGAAGGGAGTACCAAGAATGGCCTCCTGCAGGTGATACTAATTGCCTATTAGAGGATGAGTAGGTAGGCGGAAGGACAGGTGTATGGCACCCCATGTGGAGCCGAAGACTTCAGTCCCTAGAGTCAAGGCTTAGGATGGATGAAAAGAGAATAACACCAAAAGAGTAAAAGAAAAAAAGAAAGTGCATTTCATCTTCCACCACAAGGCACACACAATAGCCACTGCTTCAGAGATCTGGGGGGCAGCTGTGTAGCCACTTCCAGCAAAACACGGTTAGCGAACCTCGCAGGACCTTACAGGAAAACTAACCTTCCTTCCTTACCCCGGACCACCTAGTCCTCAGTGCTCCGCACACCCGGAGGAGCTAGCCTCACTGCGCAGGCGCCAGGTCTGGCGCTAGTAGCGCCGGGTCTTCCACTAGGGTTCCCCTCTAGCCCCCAGGCTTTCGTTTCTCTACTGCTCTCCGCAGCGGTTTCTGCCGAGACTTGGAGCCGGGTTGGGGGCGGGCCTTCCGGTGGAAGGGCACGTGGGAGAGGAAGGTCACAACTGGGTAAGGCTGTCCGTGACTTTGTGGGGGTCTGTAGAGCGGTGTGGGCGGTGGC